GCAAGTTTTGCTTTCTCAAAGGTACGAGCAGATTTGGTAGAACTTGCATAAGACAAAGTAGACTTCCCACCTTTAGATCTATGGCTGTGCTGTGAACCCCTGTAGGACACTGAATCATATTCAATTTCCGCTAATAACTCACGTTCCTGTGTCTTGATTGAATCCAACACCTGCTCCCGGAATTCTTTCATTGCCTGTAACCTCTCTTTAGCCTGAACAGTATAGATATTTACTTCCTCTGGAGACTCCATCTCCCTAGTGTAAGATTCAACACATTTCTCATAGCTGAAACACAAATCATGATATCTACTAAAACATGATTTAATCAAGTGTAAATTGTCAGCATTAGAATCATTCAACAGTCTAGTGAGTTCATTTTTACACTTGGTCACAGCAGCGAGTGCACTAGTAGCACCCTTCTCAAACCACACAAACGTTCAGCCCTTCCTTTCTCCGTTGGGACCCGTTGACGAGTAGGACGTTGACTAAATTCAGTCTCATCATAGTCTAGAACATCATGTCTGTACACTGGTGCAATACCAAGTTCATCATATGTCCTACAATCAAATTCACTATTGCCACTTCTGTCAGACATATTAATCCTTATAATGTCCTACAAAACTGACAAAACACAAATTCAACAGAAGCTGTCACAATTCACAAGTCACCATTCACTTTCAACTGTTATCTTCTGACTTGTCCTGGCATTCTGTTACGTTGTCACTTCAGTCCTGGCCCGGCTGTCCACAACAGTCCATCTTCTCGTTCAAAAGGTTTTTTGAACTTTGTAGCAGCAAGAACACAAATGCGAAACTCGCGCCACAGAATTTATTCATACCACACATGTGACGAGGTTCAAAACTACAATAAAACAAACAAAAGAACCTCCAGTTATACAAACACAAACTCATATCAATACAGATATGAAAAAGCCTTTTTTACATAATTTTACTCATTTTAGGCCTTATACACTGTTACAGAACCATATTCGTTATTTCATCTAGGCTCAGTCATGAAAACAATGCAAATAACAGAAATAGACAGTTCACATGAAATTTCCCTTCAAATTACACATTTCCTACCAAAAAACATAATAAACACCAAAAATAGCAGATATTCATTACATTACACTTTCTCTAAAACATTATGGTAGGATACAGCAAAAATTGTTACTTACACCTTGTGTTCCACTTGGACCAGGTGCATGGTAATATGGAGAGTCAGTGACTTCAGCCAGGTAACAAATTTGAAACAGCCACCAGGTGGTGATGATATGCAAATTAGGTCAGCTGACCCCATGTTTGTAAACAATGACATGTGCTTTTGTTTTGATTACAATAAGGAGTAGAATCAATGTTTTGATTTACTCATCTAAAGAAGTGAATTAACTTATTGGAGATGTAATTGATTGTAGATGATGATTTTGAAACATAAATATGCTTATAGATGATTGTAATAAGCATTTTGTACAAAAGTGAAAAAATATGGTTTTAGCCTTTACAGACAGTCTCTACGTTGAGGCCGATGAGCCATCTTTAAAACTTCGCCGTATCCAATTGTCCCTACAATATCTCACAAAGTTATATTCTAATGAATCCAATCCTGCTCGCACTTGCGTTTTTAATCCTCTTTATGAGGATTTGTATAATAAAAAACCTTCACTTGTCCCACCTCTTGGGTTAAGAATCCAACAATATATTTCTGCTGCTGGCATTGAGTTGGAGAATATGTCTCCTTCCCGTCTTCTTTCTTCTCCTCCTTGGCAATTGGTTAGGCCACAAGTCGACCTAACACTCACTAAATTTAAAAAATCAGAAACGAATGACTTACAATATAAACAAGAATATAATCAATTAAAAAGTAAATATAATACATATAAATCCTTATTTACAGATGGGTCCAAGGATGGTGGCGCGGTTGCTTGTGCCACTGTCACTGGGTCCAAAACAATATCTTCCAGATTACCCAATGACAGTTCAATTTTCACAGCTGAAGCAAACGCAATCCTAACAGCTCTCAAATATATAAATAGACACCCTGAATATAACCAGTACATAATCTTTTCTGACTCTCTGTCTTGCCTTCAGGCGATTAAAAATATTTCTTGTAAACATCCACTTTTAATAGAAATTATAGAATTATATAAGGATCTTGCAACTGGCCAATGCGACATCGTCCTCTGTTGGTTACCCAGTCACGTTGGTATTTCTGGGAATACAATGGCCGATCTTGCTGCAAAGGCAGCACTCAACAAATCTGTGACACCACTTCTTATTCCTTACTCTGATTACAAAGCAAGCATTAGAACCTACATCCGTGATCTGATGCAGAAGAAGTGGGACACCCAAGTAGGTATAAATAAATTACATGAAATAAAACCCTATATTGGTTACACCTACTTGGGTTGTCAGTCCAGATTTGAAGAGGTCATTATGCGACGATGTCGCATTGGCCATACCAGATATACTCATGAATATTTATTGAAAGGCGAAGATCCTCCGTTTTGTATCCCTTGTGATGAAAGGATCACAGTCAAGCATGTCTTGCTTGACTGCATTGAATATTCCATCACAAGGGATAAGTATTTTAATGTCAAAACATTGAAGGATCTTTTTAATAATGTTAGTTCTCATTTAGTTATTGCCTTTTTAAAAGAATTAGATTTGTTAACAGATTTGTAAATAGCTAAATATTTTATGATTGGAAGTTCGAATTAGTACCACAGATTGTTAGTGGCTGTATCCTTGAGGGGGGTTAAAGTACTGTAAAATTATTGTCCTCCCGAGAGGGTACGTAAGTCCCCAAACATTTAAAGTAAATTTCAACTTTCCGTTGTTGTTTTTTTAATCGTAGAATATGTGTAATTTTAACGTATGGCTAGATTTATCTCAATTGCTAACAGCTGAAGGGATGATGTAAATCCAGCTAGGGCCCATGCAGGAAGCAAATGTACTGTAAGTCCCCATGGTCCCTAGTATGGTGATCTACCTTCAGTTGTTAGCGATCTATAGCCCATTTTTAGATTGTGTTGTCCCCTATGGTTAAAATGTTTTAGATTCAATTACTAGTTTTACATATATATATCTGTGATACTCTAGTTGCTTTACTGTCCTTCGATGTCAGGTTTTATAATATATACATATTCCATTACAATGTAAAATGTTCTCGTCACGATATGGCTGAAATATTGCCGATGTGACGTTAAATATTAACTCACTCACTAAAATGTTTTAGATTCAATTACTAGTTTTACATGTATATCTGTGATAATCTAGCTATTTTACTGTCCTTCGTCGGCAGAATTTTATCATTTCACTTAAATTGTTGATAGATTTATAACTTGCTTTAGTCACGATATGGCTGAAATATTGCCGATGTGACTTAAAATCTTAACTCACTCACTCACTCACTATCTGAAACACAAAGAGGAAAAGGTTTTTGGAAATTCAACCATTCTTTATTACAAGATCCAAAGTATGTACAAATAGTCAAGGAAACTATTAAAAGCACGTTGAACAAATATAACACAAAAACAGAAGGCCAAATTTCAAATTCCAATTCGCCTCTGATCCCATGCCGGATTACGCATTTATTCATTTTCACAAATTAAAATCCATATGCTAATAGCAAAACATATCAAAATTTGAAAATTAATTTAATTTCTTTTCAAATTGAATGATGAAATGAACATTTACATATTAAAAACATCCTTCATCGTTTTTACAGTGAAATACTTGTCACTTGTGATGGAGGGACATGCATGAGTATCTTACTTGTATCTCTGGCAGGTTGTATGATGTACATACTTAGCGAGTGGAGAAGAGCAAAGCTTCTGCCGTCCGGTTGTCGTGTCAGTTTCAACCACTTGAAGTCCGTACACTACCGTCGCTCCGGGAATTTTTAAAAACACTTTAGTCAGGAAACTGGTGTAAAAATTCAAACTTGAAAGTAATGAAAATCTTTACTCGAGTGAGTAAACGTGAACGTGAATGATAAAGTCGACAGTCTAATTAATGCACAACACGAACTTCAAACTTTTAAAACTTCAAACTGTTATGAGGGTACTGACTGACTGCCACCTAAGGCAATGACTAGTCTCTACATACAGCATTTAAAGCCACGTTGTTTTCAGAGTTCAAAGCTGTAAAAATGTTTACCCGAGTTTGTCAACTCTGAACGTGAATGATAGTGAGTAAATGTAAAAGTAACGTCACCTCGGCAATATTTCAGTCATATAGTGACGAGTTGAGTTGAGTTGAGTTGGGCTTTACGTCACATTGGCATTATTCCAGCCATATAGTGACGAGAACAAGTCTGCATTAATAAGCATTGTAAGTGCAGAGTCAAAATAATTTCAAAAACATATATTCATTACATTGTCATTTAAAAACAGAAAAGTAATAGCACTAAATTTAAAGGCAGGCAATTTGTTTGTCACATTACACAGTTACAATTTATGGTACAGATCAACTTCCCTCAGGTAATTCACTATCAGAAGAGCGGTCACACGTGAGAACAGATCTTTCAGATTTGTTGCATCATAATGTGAGTTCCTTGCAGACGATAAGTCAACACAGTCAAGCAGAATGCATCGCAAGAGACACACAGGTGACGAGAAAGGTTTTCCATACATAATATATATATATATATGTATATGTATATGTATATATATATATATATATATATATATATATATATACATATACATATACATATACATATACATATACATAGATATATATATAGATATATATATATAGTGGCTTGAATGCAAATTCGCGTACAAGAAAGTCGATAATCGCCCTAACCACCACCCCATACCCCACCCCCACCCAACCAAAATTAAACTAAATAAAACAAATAAAAAAACTCCATTCGTGACCAACTCGGGTTATTCCGGGACAAGCCGAATCTTGGAGGTTACGGGAAGGGTCGAGTGGTGACCAATGACGACAGGCACTCTACCACCAAGCACAGCCTAGTTTTAAGGGGAGATAACAATTGTATGCTTCCTGTGAAACATGGCGTCGATTTTTCGGCATTTCGTCTGTCGTGTTGTAGCACCGGTTAGGTGTAATGCGATCAAAAAGCCCTGTCACAGATATTTGTCCACCAGGTGATCCATTTAAGCTCTGTTATAGAACAGCTTCCTTCTCAGTGTGGATCGTGAAGATTAATAACTGTAAAACATGATCAGGCTTTTCTCAAGTTTTTCCAGGTTTTGGATGACATGGTGACCAGCGTTTTAGAAATAATGAACCACCTAATATATTCAAGAGGCTAAACGAGTATGTTTAAAGTCACCTGGCGAAAACAAGATAACTTTAGGAGTGCACTTTCCTGGGTTGAGCCTTTCCATTACAATTAATGCTGTTCCTTAAAATCCGCTCATGGCTCTGTGTGTGTCTGACAAAACCACGAGTTATGTCTGCAGGGGTGATTGTCGGCATAGGTACAAAAAGATAGGTGCACCTGGTTTGGGGTAACCAAGTCATTCCCTTGTCATGCTGAGCACTCTGGTTTGATTTCCTGTATGCAGTGTTCGCGAATTGTGTCTGACCCTCTGACAAATCCGGCAGATTTGCCAACGGTCCGATAGAAGTCTACAACCCACCGGCCCCAGTGTCCGACTGTATGTTTCACAATGACTTTGACTGAAGATGTTATATGTGACATGTGACACTTGTTTGCTGTTTATTTTATCTTAATTTTTCTTATGTTTGTTAATAATTTCAATGCCAATTATAAGAAATGTTAAATCTGAAATGTGTGTTTAATTTTATTCCATGGGTCCTGTGAATTTTCAATGGATCAGACAGATATCTTAAACTTACAGGACCCAATGTCCTGTTACTTTGAAACACCATTCGTGAACACTGTGTATGTGTTAAAGTTCTTAAATATTTTGTGGTGTCCTCTGCCTAAAAATGCTGGCGTATTGATAGAAGTAGCATAAAACCATACACGGTTGCGGTTGCAATTTGAATACTGACTGATGAAGGTTTTACATCACCTTTAGCAATACTTCAGCAATATTACATCAAGTACACCAGAAATGGACTTCTCATGTACCCATTTGGGGAATCGAACCCGGATCTTTGGCGTGACAAGTAAATCTTATACTGTGAGGCTACCTCACTGTTGTGCAGTATATGTTCAACCATGATACTATTCGTTCAGAAAGAAGTCTGTAACAAATGTCAGTTGCTAACGGGTAAGGGGGTCGTCGGCACAGGTACTACATATGTGTACCCCAGGAAACCTTTCTTAGTGAAATAATCAAACTGTTGGCATCAACTGATTTTATTTCCATTTGGTTTCAGATTGGCAGAAGTTGGCATTTTAGAAACACCAAAAGAACATGGAAATTCCTATGAGACTGGGCAGGTAAGATGGTGAACCAAGTCAGTGAGACGGATTGCTTTTCAAAATGTTATGGAAAGGGCCAATAAATCCCAGTTTCATTCTGATGAGGAGACTTGACCTGACAGCATAACCAGCTCAGTGGCCTCATGTTTGCCAACATAGTAAACTTGCCTGGCTTTTGCATCATTTTAGTTAGTATTCCCTTGTTTCATAAATACGTTCGCTCACTGTGTTCTCAGGTCGGCCAATGTGTATCTGTGTTATGGTTTTGAATGTATGTGTCTCACTAGTCGCCTTGGTCACACTAGTGAGTGAGTTGGATTTTACACCTCTTTTAGCAATGTTCCAGCAATATCATGGCAGGGGACACCAGAAATGGGCTTCACACATTGTACCCATGTGGGGAATCGAACCCGGGCCTTTGGCATGATGAGCAAACACTTTAACCACTAGGCTACCCCACCGCCCCTGGTCACACCAAATATTCGTCTGTAGCAGAGTTTTCAGACCCAAGGAGAGAAAACCTTGAGATGCTGGGGCCCAAGGGCCACAGGTCCCGTCCAGGTCAAGGGGTTGATTACCTTGTTTTCATCGCTATATGGCTGTAATATTGCGGGTGCGATGTAAAATTTTAACTCACTCACTCACTCACTCCAGGTCAAGGATGGAACCTTGAGGGGCTCAAGCCAACGTATAATTGCAAATTCCCTTCTCAGAAATGTCCCTCAAAATGATGTTTTCAGACATATTAATGTGATCTTTCTTTCTTTATTTTTCTTCACATGAACCCAGTTTGGCCCAGTTTGATTTTTTCGTGATAGCGTGACATGAGTAGATGACAATGGCTTAAGAGTTAGCAGGTATGCTGTAGTGTGAGAGTGGAGTTAAGCTTTTAACTAAAATTTAACAGTATTCAAGTTATTTATTGTTGTGTCAGTTTGGTACGGGACGGTGGCCTAGTGGTGCAAGTGTTCACTTGGTGAAGACCCGGGTTCAATTCCCCACATGGGTACAATGTGTCAAGCCCATTTCTGGTGTTCCCGTGCTATTGCTGGAATATTGCTACAAGTGGTATAAAATCATATTCAATCACTCACTAATCAAGCTGATATAAAAAAATGTACATAATATTTGTTTCAGCTGTTCCTACATCGGATATTTGGTTACCGTGGCATTGTCCTCTTTCCGTGGCTAGCACGAGTGTATGACCGAGACACAGCCACAAAAACCGAGGAGAAGTAAGTATCCATGGTAACACAAGCTGTACAAATTGTATCCAACTGTCTAAACAGTCCAGCTGACCTCATCCTCAAGAAAGTAAAGACCTTGGTATGCTGGACTGAATAACAAGGCTAAGTTGAACATATTTAGTTAACAGAAGACAATCACATTTCAGTAGGGCTGGCAAAAAAGATTGATTATATTGATGATAGGGAAAGGTATTAATGATTATCAATATGAAAATTGTGTAATGGATAATAAAGTACATAAGCTTTTGTGATAGAATACAGTTCTAAATTTTTCAGACAACACACAAAGTTCAGTCTTTATTCACTGGTTGCTTCTAAATTTTGTTCAGGACCTTTTCTGTTAGTAATCCATGCACAAACATGTCACGACTCACAGTGGTGTGAAATATATTCATTACTTGCAGACGTTTTAGGCATTTTTTCTCAAATTTACATCTCTGATGTTTATCAATAGTCGGTGGATAATATATCAGCAATTATCAATCTCTATCATCTGATGATAGACAGCCCTTCTTTTCATTAAGGTATCTGAAATGGTTGGTTTGTAAAAATTAATAAACAGTGTGTTGAATCTAAAAAATACAGCTAAACTAACCCTGTTACAGAAATATTAGTGATGTAATTTGATTGAGATGTGACGGAAACTAATGTCACAATGGTCTGTAAAACGGTTAGGGGTGGTAGGATAGCCTAGTGGTTAAAGCGTTCGCTCATCACACTGAAGACCCAGGTTCGATTTCCCACATGGGTACAATGTGTGAGGCCCATTTCTGGTGTCTACTACCGTGATATTGCTCGAATATTGCTAAAAGCGGTGTAAATCTGAACTCGCACACACTATAGTCCGTTTGGCTCAAAAGTGGACAGATGAATTGCAATCTAACTCGAAAACTAATAAACATAAAATACTCAATGAAACGCTGATCATAATCAAAACATCATACCCACTCTTTGAGGTTTTTGCAGAATTTTTGTCCTAAAAATAAAAAAGTTGTTTAACAATCTATCATTAAAATATTGACACAGTTCACTATTTGTTACGAGGGAGGAGTGCAGAGAAAGGGACAGACAGGTGTTAGAGAAGCACGTGCACAAGTGCCGACAAAGTTATTGATTCATTAACCTGTGCTGTGCCATCTCCATCCTTTCTCGCACACCTGGCTGTCCCTTTCTCTGCACTCCTCCCTCGTAACAAATAGTGAACTGTGTCAATATTTTAATGATAGATTGTTAAACAACTTTTTTATTTTTAGGACAAAAATTTTGCAAAAACCTCACAGAGTGGGTATGATGTTTTGATTATGATCAGCGCTTCATTGAGTATGTTATGTGTATTAGTTTTCGAGTTAGATTGCAATTCATCTGTCCACTTTTGAGCCAAACGGACTGTAGCCTTGTGGTTAAAGCATTTGGTCATCACGTGGTAACTCCTGTGGAAGCCAGTTTGGGTTGACAACTGAATATATCATGTACATCCTTGTGCTGTTTATTTCTATCAATGTGATCTGTGTTACAGGAATGTGGATGACAACACCACTGCTATAGGGAAGGAGGTGAAGGGGAAGAACCACCTGTACTACCAGGTGCTGATCGATGCCAGGGACTGTCCACACATAGTATGTACACCACACTTACTTAGCATACAAGACCCATGAAGATCTTCAGTAACCCATGCCTATCGTAAGAGGCGAGGGATCGGGTGGTCAGGCTCGCTGACTTGGTTGACACATGTCATCATATCCCAATTTCGTAGATTGATGCTCATGCTGTTGAGTGTCTAGTCCAGACTCGATTATTAACAGACTGCCGCCATGTAACTGGAATACTGATGAGTGCGGCATAAAATTAAACTCACTCACTCACTACATAGCATACTACCTTGTCTTGGTACTTGGTGTATTGTGTGTCATACAATGATGTGGATAGCTGCTCATAATATCAATCACTAGTTTATCTAGCCCAGTCTTGGATTGACAGGCCACCATGATATGACTGGAATACTGGAGTATGGCATAAATCAAGAACCAAACAAGCAAAGATAAGCATGATAAGACATGAACTGATACACACATAGAAATATGTCAAAAAACTTTGGAATTAATTGAAGAGTGCATAAAGGGATAAAAATGCAACTTTGGGCACCAAACAGATATTTCCTGAACACCATGACTGTAAGAATAGTTCAGATTCATATGTCCTGGACCTATAAACTAACCACAAACAATGTTATCATCCAAAACAGGTGTTTAATGTTATGTGCACCTGCATTCAAATTTGCCAAGCCCATGTTGAGCTGTGAGATTGCCACCCAAAACCTGTTTGATAGGGTGCAATGATAGGTTCTGAATCATTTGATTTGGTTAGGTTAATCGCATTTTCCATTAAATGAATTGTGATGAAAATTATTTTCATGGTCTTAGTCGTATTGCCAGGGCACATTGAAAATATTTCATCGATGGGATTTCAGTATTTACTGTGCCATTAAATGCAAAATAAGTTCTGTTTTGATCCCTTGAGTTTGTCCTTTTTCAGCGAGCACAGACGGAAGCTGTGACATTCCTTGGAAACCAGGAAAACAGCCGAGCTCTGCACGCTATCCCAGGTAAATCGCAATGTCTTTTTTGAGAACTGTTTATCTGTTTATCAGCTGTTTATCTGTTACATGTAAAATGTATGGTTAATTATTTGTTTAAATTGTTATTGCCTCAAGTCAGTTTCTCAGTGCTAATCAGATAATGTGTTTCAGGTTTGGACTACATTGGCCCAAGAAGACCTTCTACCATACACCAGTAATGGAGCCACCTATACAACACTTAACTGTTTGACAAGTTTCTGATGCATGATACAGACAGTTGTAAGTAAGCTTCATGTTTTGTTTGCTTCTTCGCCTTTGTTTGTTGTTCAACACTGCACTGCTCCCCGGCCGCATCATACCAAAAGACGTTAAAATGTGGTACTTGTTGGTCCCTGCCTGGCGTTCGGCATTAATGGGTACAACAAGGACTGGTCGACTCGGAGTCAGTATAATGTGTCTGAGTGGGGTATTCATGCTTCACTGCTGCATGGTATCTCAGTGGGCTAGCACTATAAAACCAGCTTCAGTCTGGGCTAGTACAAGCAGCCGCGACATACACATACACACGCATGCACGTCGTCATATGAGTGAAATATTCTCAAGCACGTCGTTAAATCCCACTTCACTTCACTTCACTTCAACACTGCACTCAGCAATATTCCAGCTATATGGCACCAGTCTGTAAGTAATCCAGTCAAGACCAGACAGTCCAGTGATTAACGCCATGAGCATGGATCTGCTTAATTAGGATCTGATAACATGTATCAACAAAGTCAGTAAGCCTGTACCTGATCCCATTAGTCGCGGGCTGTTCCTTAAGTTGCCACTGCCTTTGTAACAAACTGGGAAAACTCACAAATAAATGATGACAGTTTCTTAAACAACCTTTTTATTTTTGTGACAAAAATTATGCAATTTCTTCCTAGAGTTGGTCTGTTGTTTATATTGCAGTCCGCGATGGTTTGATTCTTTTATGTCTATTTGTTTTTGTGTTAGATTGCAATTCATCGGTATCATTTTGTCTCAAACGGACTGTAACTAGGATTTTCACGGGTTCCAAGTGGCCACTGTCGATATGGGTAGAAGGCTTCATGCGTGCATGGTTGTCTTGTCTCACTGGATGACATTATGTCAATGTTGATTATATCTCAATTCTATTGTGAAAAGTAGATTGACCCATTCCTTTGCCACTGGAACTTGTTTTGGAAGCGATGATTCCATCTAGTGTTTTTCTGAATATTGAGAAATGGAAAGGCATCCTTATGCTGTCAAACATTACCAGCTGTATCTGGGACAGTACGCAATACATGTGATATTAGCACTGGAGAACTTTATCTTTCCTTATGCATGAATGTCGGATTCTGATTGGCTGAAACCAGTTCTACTTTTTTCGTGTACCACACATAAATTTCTTGCTCTCACCTCTCTTACATTTGCAACGATCCATCCTCAAGTTTGTATCTCAAATTGGTTGTAAGGCAACCTTCTCTTGATATATAAATACAATATTTTCTGACTGAAATAGATCCAGGGGGCCATAACTCTTGTTATTCTGTCATTTGTTTTTTTTTTCAATGTACATGGAAAAGGTGAGGTGAGGTGAAATTGTGTTTAACATCGTGCTTGAGAATATTTCCCTCATATGATGACGTGCATGCTTGTGTATGTGTATGTTGTACCCATTAATGCCGAGCGCCAGGCAGGGACCAACAAGTACCATATATTAACGTTTTTTGGTATGACGCCTTCGGGGATCAAACCCGCGACCTTCCGCTCTCCGGGCGGACGCTCTAACCACTACACCACGGAGGCGGTTACATTGAAAAGGAAATAAGTGTATTAATGCCTGTTGTTTGGGGGGACCAATTTGGACCACAACAAGCATTCATAACACACATATGCAGTATATTGGGGTGAGCATAGACTAAACTTGTCATCCATCAGCTGACTTGGGTCGGTGTGCCTTTCCTGCTATGGTCTCCTTGTCATTTCACATGGATCATTATTCACAAATATAAATCACTGGATTGATTTCATTATTCAAAGGGCACTGTGATTTTTCTTGAGTATTGTTTAGTGTGGCATCAAACAACAAACAAAATCACATTCAACATGCTTGTAAATACATGTTCACAATTTACTAAGTTACATACTTTCTGTGCTAGCTTGTGATGTATTCTATATCTATCGTGTAACCACTCTCAAACTCTCAGCATGAAAGAGCAAACAAAGTGTATTGTGATGTGATGTGACAAGCTGGTGTGTCAAACTTTGTCATGATATCAGTACAGGTTTGCCAGCTGACTTATGTTTCTGCAAGATACCTACATGCCAGACTGATTGGTAGATTCTACAGTATGAGATCATGGGGAATTTCCTGAATCCCTGACGTAAAATGGTGATTTTTACAGGACACGGCTAATGAGATGACAAGACTCTTTAACATGGAATGATACTCTTTCTTTCTGTTCATCATCTGCCAGCTCCTCCCTTCATGGCACGGGAGACACTGCGAGCCTGGCAGGAGAAGAACCACCCATGGCTGCAGCTGTCTGACGTCCATCGAGAGACTACCGAGAACATCCGCGTCACAGTCACTCCTTTCTACATGGGATGCAGGGTAGGTTGGCAGACAAGAAGGGACACTACTCTGTAGGTGATTAGATGATCCATAACACCCAATCTACAGCCTGTGTTTGTTTACAATATTCATCAATGAATTGTCTTTTCTGGAAGTGATTATTTAAAGGTTGCCGTCATATAGCTGGAATATTGCTGCGTATGGTGATTTACTACAGAAAGAACACACACAAAAGTGACATTGAGGGATTTGGTTCATTGTGTGTCATTGTACCCCCACTGATGTTTATGCTGTTGATCATTTGATTGTCTGGTCCAGACTCAAATAATTACAGACCGCTGCCATAGATGGAAATTGCTGAGTGCAGTGTTAAACAACAAGCCAACTAACCCTTTGTTGTTGGGACATTGCTTACAAAAAAAATGACTGTTATGGCTAGTTGAGACTTGATTGTTTAAAGACAGCTTTTAGCTGGAATATTGCTGAGTGCAACAGTTTGTGGCTGCAGTAGTTAGAATAATAAGTACATGGTTTCTTGTGACTGGTTTTTGTGGTAAATGTGTCCTTCTTGTTTCAGGAGTCGCAACAGACACATGTATACTGGGTATGTAGAAGCTTTTTAATTCCATCTATTGTTTTTTCGCAAATAAAGTTTGGACCCCAAATTCAATGATGGTCTAAAAAAACGATATGTATAAATTTTGACTCCCAAATCAATCCCCAATATAACATTGGTTACATTTGACCATTTTCGAAATGGCAGTGTGTATTCGTATTCACTGCTGTAGATGGGATGTGTTACTGGGTGCAGCTTAAAACAGTTATTCACATACCTGAGGTGAAAGTGGCCATGTTATGTTTTGTTGTAGTGGAGATACTGTGTGAGGCTTGAGAACCTGGGTGAGGAGACAGTTCAGCTCAGGGAGAGGCATTGGAGGATATTCAGTCTGTCTGGCACCCTGGAGACAGTCCGTGGACGGGGAGTTGTGGGGCAGGTAGGTAACGAGACAGTGCTGTTTGGGACAATGTTCAGACCCTCTGGCACCCTGGAGACTGTCCGCAGAAAGGTAACGAGACAGTGTTGTCTGAGACAATGTTCAGTCTGTCTGTCACCCTGGAGACTGTCTGTGGACGGGGAGTTGTGGGGCAGGTAGGGAGTTGTGGGGCAGGTAGGAGTTGTGGGACAGTGTAGTTTTGAGACAAGACAGTGTCTGTTTGAGACTGTCTGTGGATAGGGAGCCTGTCAGGTAGGTAACGAGACAGTGCTGTTTTGGACAATGTTGAGTCTGTCGATCACCCTGGAGACTGTCTGTGGACGGGGAGTTGTGGGGCAGGTAGGGAGTTGTGGGGCAGGTAGGTAGCGAGACAGTGTTGTTTGAGACAATGTTCAGCCTGTCTGTCACCCTGGAGACTGTCTGTGGATAGGGAGTTGTGGGGCAGGTAGGGAGACAGTTGTTTGGGACAATGTTGAGTCTGTCGATCACCCTGGAGACAGTGGGCGGGGAGTTGTGGGGCAGGTAGACAATGCTGTTTGGGACAATGTTGAGTCTGTCATCACCCTGGAGACTGTCCTGTGGACGGGAGTGTGGGGCAGGTAGGGGAGTTAGGGACAATGTTGAGTCTGTCGCACGGGGAGTTGTGGGGCAGGTAGGTAACGAGACAGTGCTGTTTGGGACAATGTTGAGTCTGTCTGTCACCCTGGAAACTGTCCGTGGACGGGGAGTTGTGGGGCAGGTAGGTAACGTGCTGTTTGAGACAATGTTCAGTCTGTCTGTCACCCTGGAGACAGTCCGTGGACGGGGAGTTGTGGGGCAGGTAGGTAACGTGCTGTTTGGGACAATGTTGAGTCTGTCTGTCACCCTGGAGACAGTCGACCGCCTCCGTGCTGTAGTGGTTAGAGCGTCCGCCCGGAAGGCGGAAGGTCGTGGGTTCGATCCCGACCGCGTCATACCAAAAGACCTTAAAATATGGTACTTGTTGGTCCCTGCCTGGCGCTCAGCATTAATGGGTACAACAAGGACTGGTCAGCTCGGAGTCAGTATAATGTGTCTGAGTGGGATATTCATGCTTCACTGCGGCATGGTACCTCAGTGGGCTAGCACTATAAAACCAGCTTAAGTCTGGGCTAGTACATGCAGCCGCACATACACATACACACGCATGCACGTCGTAATATGAGCGAAATATTCTCAAGCACGACGTAAAACCCAATTTCACCTCACCTCACCTGGAGACAGTCCGTGGACGGGGAGTTGTGGGGCAGGTAGGTAACGTGCTGTTTGGGACAATGTTGAGTCTGTCAATCACCCTGGAGACAGTCCGTGGACGGGGAGTTGTGGGGCAGGTAGGTAACGTGCTGTTTGGGACAATGTTGAGTCTGTCGATCACCCAGGAGACTGTCCGTGGACGGGGAGTTGTGGGGCAGGTAGGTAACGAGACAGTGCTGTTTGGACAATGTTGAGTCTGTCGATCACCCTGGAGACTGTCTGTGGACGGGGAGTTGTGGGGCAGGTAGGTAACGTGCTGTTTGGGACAATGTTGAGTCTGTCGATCACCCTGGAGACTGTCCGTGGATGGGGAGTTGTGGGGCAGGTAGGTAACGAGACAGTGCTGTTTGGACAATGTTGAGTCTGTCGATCACCCTGGAGACTGTCGTGCTGTTTGGGTGTTGAGTCTGTCGATCACCCTGGAGTTGTGGGGCAGTTGTGGGGTAGGTAGACCAGAGACAGTGCTGTTTGGACAATGTTGAGTCTGTCGATCACCCTGGAGACTGTCTGTGGACGGGGAGTTGTGGGGCAGGTAGGTAGACAGTGCTGTTTGGGACAATGTTGAGTCTGTCGATCACCCTGGAGACTGTCCGTGGATGGGGAGTTGTGGGGCAGGTAGGTAACGAGACAGTGTTTTTAGGGACAATGTTGAGTCTGTCTTGCACCCTGGAGACTGTCCGTGGATGGGGAGTTGTGGAGCAGGTAGGTAACGAGACAGTGTTGTTTGGGACAATGTTCAGTCTGTCTGGCACCCTGGACAGTGTTGTTAGGCACCCTGCACCCTGGAGACTGTCAGGTAGGTAAGACGTGGGACAATGTTCAGTCTGTCTGGCACCCTGGAGTTGTGGGGCAGGTAGGTAACGAGACAGTGCTGTTTGGGATAATGTTCCATCTGTGAAGATCCAGGTAGAATTGGTCTTCAACAACACATGCTTGTCATAAGACACGATTAACGGGATCTGGTGGTCAGGCTCGCTGACTTGCTTGATACATGTCATTGTATCACAAGTGCGTAGATCAAAGCTGTTGGATTGTTTGGTCCAAACTTGATTCTTTACAGACCGTCCCCCCATATAGCTGGAATATTGCTGAGTGTGGCAATCAAGCAAAAACAAACACACTGGAAGGAGTCCAGTGGAGGGAAGTTGAATGATCTTTTCACATCAAATAGGTCATTGCAGTTGAATTTCACAATTAAACATGATCAAATTAAATTAAAATAAATTTGTCATAAGAATTAGATTATCATTACAATTCCTGTTTTACTTTTCAGGAGCCAATCTTATCTCAAGAGCAGCCAGCCTTTCAGTACAGCAGCCATGTGTCATTACAAGCTCCTAGCGGCCATATGTGGTAGGTACAAGAGTTCTGTCCCTTGTTGCCTTGCTTGACTGAGAGCTAGGTTTTCACCCATCCCTTTAAAAACCTACAGGTGTGCAGTATTACCAGGATACTGGTAAAGCTACTACTAATGAGTGCAATTTATTTTGGATATATCAGCATATTACAGTTTTCTACATGCATATTTCATTCTTATTAGAAAAGTTTACATGAGTGACAAGTCAACTTGAAATGATGAAATTTTGCTATTAGCAAACTGATTCATCTGATAAACTATGAAACTATTCTTAACCAGATTCTTGAATATAAAGGTTGTGACAGATGCCAGCTTAATGGCAGACAAGTGCAATAGTGTCAAAACTGTGCAGAGGAAGAAAGTGTCTGATCTATGGGCCCTTGTATATTCCGTTTCCATTACAGATGACAGAACAAGAGCAGTATGTTATGGTACATGTTGTTATACAAGAATCATTATTGCAATGAATTGTAAGCCAAAAGTTGTATTTGAAAACAGCTGAATGTAGACGTTTACTTGAAGTGTTCTTCAAACATAGAACAGGAACAAGCCTTAATTTCGAGCTTCTATCTTTAACAGGGGAACATACAAAATGGAGAGGAGAGATGGAACTACTTTCGATTGCAAGATTCCTCCTTTTTCATTAGAAAGTAAATCAGAAGACAACACAGGCCCCCATGCCTTCCTGGGAAGCTAACACTGTTACCATGGTTACGTCATGGACACATTATTGGATTATGTTGCCATGGTTACAGACTACACAGACAAGGGTGGTTAGTATGGACTGTTTAAGCTTTGCGCCTTGGGTGCAAACTTCTGGAAGAGGACTTAAAAGAATGTGTATATAGCTTTGTTTTCTCTGGGCTGTATATAGCATGTGTTGTGTGAGCTGTACATAGCATGTGTTTGATGGAGAGATTAATGTTGAATTCTGCATGAGCAGTAGTGTGTGTGTGTGTGATTGGGGACATGTCGCTGAGTGTATTTCCTACTTTTACCTTATGTTATTTTTCAAGTGTAATCTAGAGCGATCGCACAACGATATCGCACAACGAAATCATGGCAAGGTGTTTCAGAAATGAGTGTCTCACATTGTACGCACATTGGGAATAGAACCAGGGTGTTGGTGTCAGATGTGATTTAGCCCTAGCCTACTCCGACACCTGACATGGAACATAAGCGGTTAAATAAAGATTGTTACATGACTGTGTAGTACTACTAGTAATAGTTTAACTGAATGGATGTCAGAATATTTCTTGAAAGAGAACAGGAGGATTAATTTAGTACCCATAGGGTTAGAAACGACCAAATACATACAAGTGCACAATGGCTGATATTGATGCACCAGAGTGAATGGTTTTTATCAAAATGAGGGCATTGTTGATGTCATTTTAATTTTATAGGTTTTTTTATCCTTTGAGGATGGAATGACATCACAACATAAATGATGTCAGCTGAAGATTGTTGACATTATTTGACAGTTCCTGTGTTTACAGAAGGTGGTCATGGTCTGTACATTCTTCTGAAGGAGTGCCAAAAATAGTTTAGAAACAATGAGTAGCAAAGAAATTATTACATCGTATGAGTGTCATACTTATGAAACAAGTGTAAGAATTCATGTTTACCCTCACTCATGCTTGTATACATAAGAAATGTGGCACTTGTTTTGTTGAACAATTATGACACATATACTAGTGAAATATCCTCACTTTTGACACGTTTTGTATATTTCTGATTCTGAAGCTCACCTTTACTTTGAATTGTTGTGATGAAGTTGTCAACGTCGCATCTAGCTCTTGTGGTCTGTTGAGGACTACAGTGTCCATATGATGTTAACATGCATCTACATTATCATCTGCAGCTGCTATGGTAACATCCTCACATAAAAAATGAAGTCTCTGCATTTTTGTGTCATGTGAGAAGAAGTTGTATACCAGTGAATATATTTATACATTGACTCAATAAAGATGCGTTGTAAGGAAACCATGTTATCTCAACCAGTGATGATTACTGTTATATATCAACAATATGCTTGAGCTGGTGACCCCCTTTACTTGTGCAGGCCTTCAGGAAATGCATCATTCACTGCGGTTTCTATGCTGGATGAGATCCAACGATGGGTAGTTGTGACCTACGGAGTAGGTCCCCCTGAAGTTGGTCAGGCTTTGTTTGTTTGTTTATTTGTTTTTAATGCCATATTCAGTAACTAATATTCCAACTATATGATGGTAAATAATCGAGTTTGACCAGGGGCCCATGGTCAAAACATTTGTAGCACTATGCCATTTGTGAGTCCATGATAGAGTTACGATAAGCCCTAACGTTAAGAAGACTTTGTGGATTGGGACACTGGTTAATCATTTCTGTACAAGTAAGGGTTGCTGAAGATTGGAGATGCAAATTTTCACAGGACATGTCATATCTGGAGAATATTCATATATATCTCGATTTGATTTACAAATGTTATGGTAGTGTTTGAAGAGTTAATCTTTGGAAATTGAATTACTTCGAGGCATGACCAGAGACTGAAGCTTGCCAAAAAGCATAATCTAAACTGTGTAGCATTTCAAGAGAACAAAAATATCTTTCATTGTAATTAAGAAATATTGTTTAATTCATTAGACAATGCTATGTTCTTCAAGTGCAGCAGTTTTGTGCATGTTGATCAAGTGGTCTGCAGGATGTCCTCAATTATCCTGTTTAGGATATGTTCATTTTATTGAGGTAAATACCGCAGTTGAATGGGTTGGAAATTGTGGTGGCTGAGTGGGTAAGATTGCTGACTTTCTGTGCTGGTGATTAGGTGCCTGACTCTGAGAGTGTTGGTTCAAAAACTTGATGGGACTCAACATAACAAAAGTACTAGAATCTAATTTATTGAGAAAGTGTAATCGCAGATATATGTTATAGTGACTAATTCAGGAAAGCCATCGTCCAAATATTTAAAAATATATATATATATATTTGAAACTGTCTCATTAAACAGAAGTAGACCGATCTGAGAAAAAAATAGATAACTTTTAATGGACCTTTCCCTATTCACTAGAATGGCATTACAAAAGTCATACACCCCAAAATATATAAATTTGTCAGAGGGGACAATTTTTAAGAATATTCTAAAGGCTGTTTGCACACTTAACCAAGACCTGGGTTCAATTGCCTTCCTGGGTACAATTTGTGAAGCGCATTTCTAGTGTCCCCCAGTATGATATTGCTGGAACTTTGCAAAAAGAGACAAAAACCCAACTCGCTCACGGGCCTGTAACCTGTATCTCACCTTCAATCATTCCTGAAATACAGGTGTTATCAACAGGTCCACTGACTGCCATTATCGTATTGGAGGTTGAAATGAAACAAAGTAGTGAGTCATTCACAATCTGGAGCAATCTTTGCTATTTGCACAATTCAGTCTTCATCCTGTGGAAACCAGGTGTTTTTGTTTACTATTTATGTTGTGTGAGTGCTTGGCTTCCTGAGTGGATAGCTGTCTTGCTGTCATTTATTCTGATTCCTTATCAAGTCAGAGATTCATATTTCAGTCCTGAGTTGCAAATGCACTTACCACTGGGTTGAAGCAGATTGATGCAAAACTTGGCATGCACAATACTTCAGTGACTTTCAAAAGGGGTGTTGAGTGACTGAAAAAAGTTTAAAAGTTGTACTTAATTAATGTGATTAGTGTACCAAACATGGATATTGATGCAAAGTGACAGATACAGAGTATTGTATAATAAGTTTATTTTAGAGTAAGACCTTTTCCTTATGCCTTTCACAGTTAAATGCTTCTACTATTCAACCCTTGATGTTAATGATATTTTGTGAAGTTAACCCTGCCACAGATGGTGTATGGGGAAAAGGGGAGACCTGCAGATGTATGAACATGTGAATAAATGTTGATTATGGAACCTTTTGTTGTGATTATTTTACATTAATCTCACTATTTGAGGATGTTCACTTGTGGGGCCTTTGCTTCTGTAAAGTAACAGGTAAAAAGTTTATACTATGGCTCAACATAACAGGTACATGGTACAAAGTTTACAAAAAGAATAACCATGACACATGGTACAGATGTTTTCTGTCTGGGCAGTGCTGCTGTTTATAATGAGTTAATGTCCTGCTTGAGCAAATGGTCCAATCGAATTTAGCTATTCCTAACACCAAGCGCTAATCTTGCAATGAAGGGAAATTGAATTTTATGTACGGTATGTGTTCTTAGTCCTAGGCCAAATGTTAGAAAAGTCCCTATCTTTTAGGATCTCTCAGCAGCAGTAAAAGCGTTATCCAGTAATTGGTATGACAACTCCCACCCTCCAGAGAGTCTTGTCAATGTGGAACTAGACACAGAATGTATCAGGTTGCTGAAAACAAACAAGGATTACCCCGCTGTTGAAACAGTGTCCACATGTTCATAGACCAACTGCATGAGTATTAACTGCATGGTTTAATGGACGGTGACAAGCACTGGTGTTCAACATGATCAGGATATGCAGTATGGGTGATAAGGCCTGGTGTATCATATTACCTGATAATGATGTTATCTCTACATTTGGCCTAGGAGTATTCTGGCGTTTCTCGGACCACTGTCAACACTGTCCATTGTGGGTAAGAAAACTGTTGAGGGATTGTGAGTGAGTTGGGGTTTTCCCCTCATTTAGCAATATTCCAGCAATATCACGGCGAGGGACACCAGAAATGGGCTCCAAACATTGTACCCATTTGGGGAACGAACCCATGCCTTCGGCGTGACGAGCGAACGCCTTAACCACTGGCCTACCCCACCGCCCCGTTGAGGGAATCACTGTAATGGGTGAATTAAGGTTTCTAAATGACTGATGTGTCACGTTACATGGAATCTTAAACACAGGTCAAACCAACGGTTCATTGGTTGACTAAAGCACCTCGATCTAAGATGATTTCATGTTCCAAACCCCTTCAGTATTATTGGCTTACCGTGTAAACTTTTTTCTCGGTGACAACCGTTCACTGGAAACATTATCTTAGCCGATGGCATGAAAGGGTACACAGGGTCTTTCGAAACTCATAAGCGCAGACGACACATCTTGACACGCGACTAAGGTTAGTTGCGCATGAGCAGTTGTCGCGACAGGTTAATACCCCGGTGTATGGATCCTTTGAGTTTGTGAAGTGAATGAAAAGACTGAACCACGAGGAATAATGTGGCGGAGTATTGGTTGTCTGTGCTTATTTTGTAATATCTACAGATACAATCGCGACTGATCAATACTTCTTATGATTAATGTTTCCATTCAACTTGAGGCTTGTCTTCATGTTACCGTAATGTCTTCAAGTTCAAGCCTGTTGTTTTTGGTTGGGCTTTGTGTGCGAATCCTGCTGTCTACATGGAATAGATTAAACCCCTCTTTGTTCAATACGTCCATGAAATTGCTAGCGCGAACATTTGGTAGACCGAAGAACATAACTGACGCGCAAAAGAAAGTAGGCCACATGTACAATATTCTACAGTATGCGTTCGTTATAAACGTGTAGTTTACTCACACTTTCCTTCGCCCAGAAGAAATGCCAACAACGGCTATAACGAACTAAAACTGAATTCTTTAGGGGGCATTTAGAAGCAGGTATTATAAAGAGGAACATTTTTTATGGATAGACCATTTTTCAATCGCAAATGCGACGTTTCGGTGTATACAAATGATACACAACATTATGCCCAAGAATTTAGGCATGAAGAATATCCAGTTGAAGAGAGTGAGGGAGTTTAGTTTTACGCCGCTTTTAGCAATATTCCAGCAATATCACGGCACGTGACACCTGAAATGGACTCCACACATTGTATCCATGTGGGGAATCGAACCCGGGTCTTCAGCGTGACGAGCGAACACTGTAACCACTAGGCTACCGCACCAGTTGAAGAGGTTGATGTACAGTGTGGTGACATTACTTATAGTTGTTGTGATGTAGATAGTGACTGGAAGGTGTGGAAGGTTTATTTCGGATTGGCCGTAATTAGATGATGGCAAGCTATAGGGATGTAATAATCTTGATCGCTGTTAATTGTCGGATTGAGTCGTTTGATATTGATTGCCTCCAAGAGTTTTCTTATACGATTTGTGCACATCATCTGTTGTGAGGTACTCATTGATATGATGCATGTGATATCGCCACTATACCGTAACAAATGCACAACCATCGAATGTCTATTTCGTGTGGTTTTTTCCATGTTATGTGAGTGAACGAGTTTAGTTTTACGCCGCTTTTAGCAATATTCCAGCAACATCACGGACACCAGAAATTGTGCCCATGTGGGGAATCGAAGCCGGGTCTTCGGTGTGACGAGTGAACGCTTTCACCACTGGTCTACCGCACCGCACATTTTATGTTTAGCAACCATCAAACATGTCTATGTACTGTACATTGCAGTTAGATTCGTGGATCCTAAACCAACGTTCCATTTTACAATTATTTGCGATTAATACAAAGGGATGCTATCGTAATCCACCGTTCATTTGCAAGAACTGCTAAGATGGACCAGTGTTAAGCAATGGTTTGGCTACGTTAACGTCACTGCCAGTAAATTACGATACAAGAATTGTTGGAGTATCTATTGTGTAATTATGGAAGACTTCCTTGCCTGATTTATTAATAACGTGACACCACAGTCAGATAACATCATCGTTCAGGGGATATTGACAGGTCAAATCACAGCTTGGGAATAATTAAAGAAAATAATTTCCTAAACATGGAGCCACTTAATTGTTTGTTTGTCAATTATGAACATTCACAGACAGAAACTATTTCTTTAACCTATTTTTGTCCGGTGATGGAATATTGATTGGATGGACAAAGCGATGTCGGACTGGCGTGGGAGTCAATCACCACCCTATATTTTATCATTGCTGCTTGTGTGAGGTGAGGTGAAATTGGGTTTAACGTCGTACTTGAGAATATTTCGCTCATATGGCGACGTGCATGCGTGTGTATGTGTATGTGCGGCTGCTTGTACTAGCCCAGACTGAAGCTGGTTTTATAGTGCTAGCCCACTGAGATACCATGCCGCAGTGAAGCATGAATACCCCACTCAGACACATTATACTGACTCCGAGCCGACCAGTCCTTGTTGTACCCATTAATGCCGAGCGCCAGGCAGAGACCAACAAGTACCATATATTAACGTCTTTTGGTATGACGCGGTCGGGGATCGAACCCGGACGCTCTAACCACTACACCACGGAGGCGGCCATTTCTCCTTGGCCGGATAATGGCCGTCACAGGTTGGTCTGTCTCAGACCCGTCGGTTAATTGGTTGGTTTGATATTTAACGCCGCACTCCGTAGTATTCCAGCTATATGGCGGTGGTCTATAACTAATCGTGTCTGGACCAGACAATCCAGTGATCAACATCATGAACAATATCTACGCAGCTGGGATACAATGACGTGCGTCAATCAAGACAGCGAGTCTGACCACCCGATCCCTTTAGTCGCCTCTTAAGACAAGCACGGGCTACTGAAGATCAATTCTGACCTGGGTGCTAACGGGTCAGACCCGATGGAGTGGATTGATGTCAATGTCAGTCACAGGATTGTCTGAGCTAGACTCCACGACGTGGACGGATGTTAACAGTGTCCGTAACATATTTCTCTTACCAGGATATGACATTACATTGACAATTACAGCTTCGGAATCTGGTTTGTCTGTTTCAGACTCGAACTGTCGTCAAAATACACTGGTTGGTGGAAATAAAGGTCCGACTTTCAAAACCACCTTGGTCTGTTTTTCGATAAAACATTCAAGAAAACAAACGGACAACAGATTCAACAGTCATGAGATGTTAACCTTTATATTTTGAAAACGATCTATCTGAATTCTCAACCTGTGTCGTTGACACTCTGATATTCATTGCCTTCCTGATCTCTTTTCACAGCTGGAATAGGAACACACAGCGCCACCGAGCGTCGCACGAACTGCGTCCCATTAACCAGTCAAATGACCCTTTCTGTACGACATTATCAGATTTGTCGCTACCGTAATTGAAGACACATCGCACGCATAAATATCTCACAGCACGCTATCCATATATTTCAAAGAATTTGCATTCCAATGGAGTACATGATAAATGATTATTTATAGCGTGTGTGCTGCGTTCATCACGCATCTTTATTTGTAAGATCAGTCGATACACGATCGTCATGAATTATCTGCGGTTATGAGGAATAGGTTCTACAGTCTACAATTCCGTGAACAAATCGCAATCGGAGTTCCTCGGGTCCAATCTGTTCACCCTCAGGCACAACTTATCACTCGAATCGGTGAAATATCTACCGACGTTCTTAGAGACCTTGGCGCCACCTATGAGCGACCATGGGCATCTGGCTTTGTCCTAGGATTATGGGATAATCTTGGGTTAATCTAATTATTTGAGTGTTACACTTGAAACATAACGCTGCTTGGACAGGTACGACACCAACAGTCGGGCGGACACAGTCAGGATACCTGGAGACTCAATTACAGGTAGGTTGAATGTTATTGCTTAGAGTTTTCCAATCACTTTGTTTACATTGGATCGTAACCTAACGGACTGTATGTGAATATCTAACAGCTTCAGCTACAGAAACCCCATTGCGATAGCGAGTAACATTCCTTTTGTTAAACCGCTGGTGAATGAGTGAGTATGGTTTTAGGCCGCTTTTAGCAATATTCAAGCAATATCACGGCGGGGGACACCATAAATGGGCTTCACAGATTGTACCTATGTGGAGAATCGAACCCGGTCTTTCAGCGTGACGAGCGGACGCTTTAACCGTTACGCCATCCCACTGCCCTGCAACTGCAGGGATGGCTAAATAGTACCTGCCCCTCGCCTGACACAAGGCTTGGTTTATATTCCAGAAAATGCCTTCCGTTGCATAGCAGGACCCTGCAACATCAGAGAAAATATAAACTCATTAAATGTGTTAAAATATATATTTAAATATAGAACATCAATATCGGAGATAAATCAGTGTCGTTTTTCTGTGAAATAGATTCCAGTGGACATAAATACTGACATGAATGTCAGATATGACACAGCTGTTCGCGAAATAGGTATGCAAGGCCTGTCCTTCCAATAGTGTACATAACTCACACAATTTGGGTACAAAACTAAGTGCTTATTTGTTGCTTAAAGCCGTATAGGAGTACACCTCACAATCGTGTCCTGGCCAGACAATCTGGTGACCAGACAAATCCAGTAACACAGCAGCGCGTTTGCTGATTTTGATGAAACTAAAATTGACATGTGAATTGCGTACACATGCAGAAATTCTGCTGGATAAACCTAAAGAGAACCCCACGCCATCTGTATGTGTCGCTGTATTTAGTTTGTCATTTGGCTGCTATTCCACAGTCGTTGAGTCGGCTCGGTGCTAGCATGATGTTTCCAAAACACTCATTCAGACCATTAAAAGGATCAGGTGGTCAGACCCAGTGATGTCATTGATTGCATGACGTCGTGTCCCAGTTGTTCACGATGACAACCCGTGAACATCGGGGTTAGAATTGGTCTCCAGTTACCATGCTTGTAGTAAGAGGCGACTAACTGGATCGGATGGTCAGGCTCGCCTACTTGTTGACGTCTTTGTATCCCAATTGCGTAGATTGTTGTTCACTGGATTGTCTGGTCCAGACCCGAGTATTTACCGACCGCCGCCTTATAGCTGGAATATTGCTGAGTGCAGCGAAAGATTAAACTCACTCACTCACTCACTTACAACTTCCAGGTATCCACTGAAGTCGTACTTCCAGGTACGACTGTAAATGTGGCATTACTGTGATCACCTGTGCGTTACCTGTAGATCAGGGTTATGCTTCAAGTACGCGTGTGTGTGTGTGTGTGTGTGTGTGTGTGTGTGTTACCTGTAGATCAGGGTTATGTGTGTGTGTGTGTGTGTGTGTGTGTGTGTGTGTGTGTGTGTGTGTGTGTGTGTGTGTGTGTGTGTGTGTGTGTGTGTGTGTGTGTGTGTGTGTGTGTGTGTGTGTGTGTAGTACGCACGAGATCATTGACGCCCGTTGTTTTATCTCCGCTGTAATACTGTTACATTCCAGCACACAACTTCTGTAACTCTGACATACCTAAGCCTTTGTCTCAAGAATTACAGGGCGGTGGGGTGGTCTAGTGGTTAGAACACTTGCTTCCCGCTGATGACCCGGGTTCGAATCCACAGATGACACATAATATAAAGTGTATTCTGTTGTGATGTCACTAAAATATTGCTATAATCTGCGTAAAAACATATAAAGCTCATTCACTGTGAGATGCAAAAGAAATGTGATAATAATACCCAACACAATTTACAGAGTTTATTTTAAAAATTAATTAAGAATTTTAAGAATTTTTCAGCAATTGGAATCATCGCCTTTATCAGCTATTGTCAATACAGATATTTCACAAGCTATGACAATGTCATATCAATATTTTAATGAGAAGAATATGGTCACCAAGATTAAATTTCTCAAGCGTAAAACCCACACACCTACCAACACGATTACAAAACAGTCATTAACCGTGATATAAGGCGCGTTGTAAGGCAATATGAATACATAGTAATCTCTACACTGGAATCCACAACTTCAAACGACATTCCCAGTGAACTTCCAGTTAATCAAGCCATTACTTCATAGGCTCTTTGGTGTGTGTGTGTGTTCACGGTATGGAACGGATCAAATTACAAAGAAGATAGAAGTGTGTAGGGGTGTTAACTTAACCCGATCCTTGACTGAAACTATTGTCCACTTGCACCGAACTGTAAATTGCATTAAGCATGTTACTGAATTGTGAGAAGGGTAATGGTGTTAGACATTATTGTTCTGGGCCCCGTTCCACAAAGCCATCGTAGCGCAGTGATAGACGTAAGTCTGTGGTAAGTTACGATTTCGGGAGTTACGATCTCCTCGGCGTTGCGATGGAATGGACCTGAGCCCCGTTCCACAAAGCCATCGTAGTGCAGTGATAGACGTAAGTCTGTGGTAAGTTACGATTTCGGGAGTTACGATCTCCTCGGCGTTACGATGGAATGGACCTGAGCCCCGTTCCACAAAGCCACCGTAGCGCAACGACATACGTAAATCTATGGTAACGTATGAGAGCTACGATCTCCTTTGCGTTACGACAAAATGGACCTGAGCCCCGTTTCACAAAGCGATTTTTGGGCTACTACTGTCGTAAACAAATGTTAACGTAGGGGTCTTATGGTCCTTTATGATAGCTTTATGGAACGTTAACAATCCGATGTTCAACGAAGCTTATTCTGCGGGGTTTGATCAAATCGAATTATTGGTTCGATATCAGTTTTGTAAATTAAGTTTTTAACGGAGTTTTTTTGTTATGACGCTATTTATCATTGGTCCCGTCAGTTAAGAAACCCTACTTTCCGGCGAGTTACTAGTGAGAGAAACTCTGTTCTGAAACAGTAACTGCAGACATGGTGTTGATTATGTCTGCTACCATAGCAAATGTCTGTAGGCACCTTTATAGCGCTAGTCCATTGGCACCAGGCCATGTTTACAAGGATACACTACTCAAACAGTCCTGGTTTTATCACCTGGGCCCCTATTCTCGTAACGTCCGTAGCCCTAATAAATCTTAGCTTTGATCGTAGCCAATGTGTTAAGAATCGGCTTAAGACGTTCGTAGGGCTACGGATGTTTCGAGAATAGCTAGCCTGAAGCCAAAGCGTAACAACGGGGTAACAACACTCTTGGTACATCACGACCATAGATCCAACCACCGACCGCCCTCTTCAAGACAGACGCTGTATCCATAAGACCATTGATCCAATTACTAGTAAAGCAATAAATTGATATGAAACTACTTCAAGTTACATCGGCAATTCATATATGCTTGCTGCTCGTAACGTGAGGAGTATATTAAATCTGAACCAATCAGAATCTACCGAAACAATCTTCAAGATGCCGGCCGTTTGAAAAGCCGAGCCCTGTTGACGTTCACACGCTATATGTCTACATGTCAGTGGTATACGCGGTTATTGTTGTGTGAGTGCTTTCTGACATTCATTTCATGTCAGACTGTTTGTTGGACACTCGAGACAACTTTCCTATCTGTAAAAACAATCTTTACAAGTTCTGAAGAGCTTTGACCCGGTGAATTGGGTAACCGTGTTCGGTTTAAACTATTTGTCCTAGTTAAGAATAGTACTCAGGGACATAGAATGGGTGAATGAGTGGTTGGGTGGGCGCGTGAGTGAGTGGGTGGGTGGATGAGTGAGAGTGAGTCGAACACTGTTTCGGTATTATGACGGCTTGTGAGTTCATTTGGAGAACAAAAAACACCATAAAACCACAACCCACCAACCCACCCCCAAACTCACAATAACCCTTAATGGACGTTTGCCGATGTAGTTATACCCCAACGTATCGGTCGTTTTTACATCCAAAGTATCATAAACATAGCGAGTCTAGTAATCGGAACCAGGATCAGAGGATCATGTCACATCTAAGGGAAGCAACTCTGCATAGCCCCGACCTGTTGAGAACATGAAGAATCAGTTACGGCATAGCACCTTGTCACACCTTACTCGTGATCAGACGGGAGGCAGTCACCCGGGGGGTGGGGCGGTAGGAGGGGGTTGGGGAGTTGGATGGATGTTCACTCGGGTTTACTGCTACGCCACAGTACAAATCATGACATCAAGTCATGGAGTATCTAAAGTGGCCGACAGCATATCAACAGGTGGCAGTATTCAGTGACATTAGCGTCTTTGCACCACGTGGTTAAACTTCCGATTGGGTGATGTTTATTGGGTGACAAATCTAGATATCACAATGAACCGTTTAAGGCCTATCTACTTCTCGTATTTATATAGTAACATTAGAAATACTGCTGGTTATTTATCTTTCTTTCTTTGTATTAAATGTATCGAATGTGGTTGTTTGCGGTATTGATCCTAATTAAGCCATTAAATTCGACTGTGTTTTGCGGCAATGTGAAAAATGACCGAAATGAAAATAATATAAATATAATATTAATATAATATTAAATAATATAAATTAAATTTATAAAAACACTATTTCACTTGACTTATCATTTCTTTTCATATCGTGACTGACTGACTGACTGAGTTTGGTTTTACGCCGCTTTTAGCAATATTCCAGCAATATCACGGCGGGGGACACCAGAAATGGGCTTCACTCATTGTACCTATGTGGGGATTCGAACCCGGGTCTTCAGCGTGACGAGCCAACGCTTTAACCACTAGACTACCCCACCGCCCCTTTTCATATCGTGAAAAGATACAGTCAAGATATGTAAAAAAATGATTTGATGGATGTGTCATGAAAGAGCCAACACAATCAATTAGACACTCCTAAATGAGGTTGTTATTCTACACACATCGTCCTAGCAACCTCCTCCGGTTATCTCATCCACGTTACTGTGAGGAATGTTGGCGAGAACATGCGTGTCACAAGGCACTTCTCGGGGGGTGAATGTGAGAAGTTATCTGCCGTGTAGCTAT